CATTGTACAAGCACAAAAACAACCAGCATGTGATTTGTCGGAATTTTTAAAACAACATTGTTTATTTGGATTAATATAAATACACTGCCTATGAAATAGTGTGTTGTAGTTCCTTTGGGTGTACTTAAGAAAGAGACATCAACAGTTGAAAATATATTTGTAACTCTAACTTGAATAGCACTCAAAACATTAATGAGAGCTAATTTCTTATTTTAATGAGTGCACATTAGGATGCAGTTACATGAATTCCCCCAGTGAAGCATTCAATGCAATACAATAGTCTTGTCTAAAAACCTAGGCTTTAGAACTTCATCTCTTGGACAGTGATCTAACAGACTGGATGGACTGGTCTTTACAAAATTCGCTTGATTCTTATTTCCATTAAAATAATTGAAACAAGCAAATTCTCTAATGATTCGGTCACCTCTCACAGGAGAGGGGTAAAATTGAAATGTATCCTATTGGGTCTTATTTCCCGATGGCATGTGATAAACTTCTAACTAATAACTTATGAACCATGTTATCTACTTATCAATTTTATCCATTACTAAGTGTAATAGCTTTACTTCTGCAGTGGATTTAAATGACAGTGGTGAGAAATCATTTTCAATCAGCAGTTTATTCAATCAACATTACTAGCCACAGCACTTTCTAACCTTTGCTCATTGACCAGAGCTAATTCTGTATTACTTGCTGATCATAAAGTAAAAGAATTTACTAAGTAAAGAAGTAACACAACAGCAACAACCAGACAGTGCAGAGCATTGTTGCAAACGAATTCTGTTCTGTATCTTGCTGTATACTGGACTCTTTCAACTGTCATAAATTCCAAACATCATGGTGTTAAGGTGGATTGGTTTTGTGTGATCTTTAGCAGGAAAGAAATAACTATTCAGTAATGTAAGTTACTGTCAGTTCCAGCTGTGGCTCAGAGGTGACACCCTTGCATCTGAAGTTCACAAGGTCAAGTTCCACTCCAAGAACTTGAGCAGTTAATCTCTGCTGACACTTCAGAACTGAGAGCGTGCTGCACTATAGGTGGTAGCGTTCTTCAGATGAGATGCTAAATCAAAATTCTGAATGTCCCTTCAAGTGGATGTAAAAGATTCTATCGTAATTTTCAGAGTAGAACATAGCAGATTTCCTGTGTCCTGGCCAATATCTATCCCTCAGTCAATGTTGTTATACAAAAGTAGATTATCTGATTATTATGATATTGTTGTTTGTGAAATCTTGCTGTGAACAGGTGAGTAATCACATTTCCTATATTATAGAAGTGACTACCCTTCAAATTGTACTTCTGTAAAGTGCTTTTCAAAATCATGTGGCCATTAAAAGCTCTGTATAATAACCTTATTTCTATATTTACTTAAATTCTTTACAACACTTACTATAAATTTTCAATGCAGCTTGTTTGTGATAATCTCAAAAGTTTGCCCTTATTGCTCATTGTGATTTTCATTACAGTTTGCATTATATGTTTCTCTTCTGTCACTCTGAATATTCAGCCCTTCCTTTCTACTGTCTGGCTGCCTACTTTCTGTCTTATATTCTTCCCACAGTTGGAAACCCTTTATGGATTTGTTCTGTCCTTATGCTGCTTATATATTTTCCCTGAACTTTTCAGACTCTTTAGAGTATATTCCATGAGAAATATTGAGGAAATGAAAAGCTTGTAAAAACATAGCCTGCATAAGTGTAATAGTGCTGATTGAATGGTGCTAATAGAAGCTGTTGCCAGTATTTTGGGGAGTAGTGTTAGATCTAGTCACACATTCAACTACTGAAGGGGTAGTTGACATTCCAATTCCACAGCATAGATATGATCAAAGGTGTTAGAATGAAAAATCCTGTCATTAATGACCCATATTACATCCTTAAGGTTTGGCATTTGTCTTGAGAGCCATTACAGAGAACTGTATGGTTTCATATATAAACAAATTCCACAAACATTGCCAATTTTGTAGGTCATATCTTATAGTCATCACTATTTTCATGGCGGTATTAACCCACATAAATAAAATGGCAATGCTGCCTTTTAAGTATTGTACTTGCAATGTCGTGCAAATACATTAAGCCCTCATCAAGTCAAGCTTCCAGTGGCATGTTCTAGCCTAATGTGGTTTGTTACTTTAAAATGCAATATATTTTGTTTTCACGTTGTCTTTAAGAGGTCTAAGGAGTAATTTTCTGGCTTTGTGTAGTGGCAGGGAGCCTCATACATTTTGAATATAAATAATCAAATGTTTGGGCATGCTCAGCAGTTAAGTGATTCAAATATTATGTGCCATGTACACATGTAAGTTTCCAGCACACATTCTGGTGGGCGAGATGCAAACATGATTAGGAAATTACCTCTATAGTTTACAGAATTAACAATTTTCAGGCTACTTCCCCACATACTGGAACATGCACACACTAGGGGAGGTGATACAATGTCACCAAAGATGGAAGGTTCTAACTGCTTTATAACAAATTGGTATTAGCAATTTCCATAATGAATTGGGTGTGGAAGTTTGCAATAGATAAAGGTTGATAGGGCTCGTGTGTCAACATGATGTGTTGATGTACTATAGAGCATTTGTTGCTGCATCATGAACGTAATGAATGTTTACCCTTTTGTCTATTCCTGCTGGGAATGCCAGAAATTTCCAGTATTCCGATAGTGATTGGTTGAATGGGTTTGATACAATTATTTTCCAAAAGGTATATACTTTTACCCCAAGACTGTCAATAGTGCAGGCAGAGCATTTCTTGGTTGGATTCAATTATGAAACCTTTCGTATTTAAACAATATATATTACAATATGTTCATTCATTATTCACAATCATGTTGAACTCTCACCTCAAAAGACAATCCATTGTTACAATTCTGAACACACTAAGCATCCCTCAGAACTCATAATTATGTTATGCTGAATTGGAGGCAGATGTGGATGAAGCAATCTTCTCACATGATCCATAGAACTCCCTAAGGAGCAATAAGGATGAGTTAGAAGGGATAGCTTTATTTACTTGCATAGATTTTCCAAGAAAAAGGATTCAGAATTTGGGACTGTTTAGTGATAAAGCACAACAAATATGTTAGGCGATGCAATCAAAATACATTACTCAATACATTTAATGCTATGAACAGTTATTGACCTTCATTGAGTCACCAGCAACATTTCCCTTTGATGATAGATTCTTATAATTATGTATATATTCTGATACCTGATATCAGATATTCTGATTGGTCAGACATGAAGAATATGCTTGGACAAGATCTTAAAGTGACAATGGTACCTCTGTATTCTGTATTCCATTTTGAGTTGATCGTAACAGGAAGGGAATAGAAGACTATTCTGAGAAGTAAAAAGGATTCAGTTCTGTATTGTTTGCCCCATAAGGTATTTATTAAAGGAACTGTTAGGATACCTTGATTTTGAGAGACTCAACAATGCTTTTCTGAAAGTCCTTACCAATTTTTACAAGGCCAGGTTCTGAAAAAGCTATGTGTTTCCAAAACCTTTCCCTAGATTCAGAGATGGAAATCATTACAAAGGACATATTGAGGGCTCAATTTAAATTTATTGGCCCATAATCAATTTAGCAGTGCAAAGATCTGTGACCAAATTGCTTGGGCAACAGAACACTGCTACATTGCTTTTTTATTGCAGGCCAGAGCAGCGGCTATCTGAAATGGCATGGGGTTTATTTCAGTATGAAAACGAGGACCCTCCCCTGCTCTCATTCCCACTGAACTGGTAAATTTATTTACACTTATTAGACCTTGTGATGTGCCAGCTGTGACTGATATCTACAACTTCTGAAGGGAATTTCGAACACCGTTCAATGAAGTCAAGTCGAACTAGAGTTGAAAGGAGTAAAAATGCTCCTTCTGGCTCCAAAATATCAATTGGGATCATATTTGGTGTCGAGCTGGATGAACACAGCAGGCCAAGCAGCATCAGAGGAGCAGGAAGGCTGATATTTCGGGCCTAGACCCTTCTTCAGA